TTTATAGCTGTTCAAGGTCAGTGTAGTCCTGTTTCTCTGACTGTGACTAACTAGATGTGCTCTCTTCATCCTCTGACATGGGAGCTGGCTCGGAGCTCGTCTGCCTGGCTGTGTTTCCTGGACGGGGCCACCTGTGGAGCTGGTTTACAATTGCCTTTTTTTTTTAATCTCTGCTTCTCTTTCTATTTCTGCTTCTGTTTCCTTGAACCCCACTCGGCCTCGGCAGATGGCTGCTCACACCGAGTCTGGTTCTGCTGGAGGTTTCTTCCTGTTAAAAGGGAGTTTTTCCTCTCCACTGTCACTACAAGCATGCTTAGTATGAGGGATTGCCTTTGAGTCAATGAGTCGATGCAAACAACTGCTTTTCCTTAGATAGAAAACTTTGAATTAATTTGACTGTATGATCTGGGTGAACTGTAAAGTGCCTTGAGATGATGTTTTGGGAATTGGTGCTATATAAATAAACTGAATTGAAATTAAAAAGAAAAAAATATTCTTCTTAGGGATTGCAATAAGTACACATTCCTTTAGGCATATCAATCTCTAAAATTGACTGCAGTTATATAAATAATGTGTGTTGCTGTGGAAATAGAGAAAGTTACTTTTTATACGTATCAGTTAGCCAGACTTTTTTTTTTAAATAAACATTAGTATTATATAGCCTTGTGTTAGCTAAGAAACTATTTGCGTTTTAGCCGATTGTCCTCCACGCATTCTGGCGAACATTCTTTACAGCTTTGTTTCTGTCAAGATGGGCCTTAAAAGCCATCAGAAACTGAATGGAAACAAGGGGAGGCTGCTGAGTTGGAGTAAGTGCTGTTTTTAAACCACAAATATGAATGGGATCTTTTCTCCTTCTCTAGTGGGGGAGGAGGAGGTCAGTCACTTTCAGGACCGCATCGAGCTATTCCACCAGAGGTGAAAACCGCCGCACCATCAATTACTCATCCATTAACATTCCCTAAGTTTTTACATATTCTTAGTTTAAGTGATGTGTTCAGTTTAACCAAAGGAAAGTCAAACATAAGGCCTAATGTGTGTGGAACTTCCAGCTGTTTTGGGGGATATCTAGGACAGTTAAGGCTTTCTAAGCAGACCAACATCAATAATGAAGATGTGTTATCTAGGGCAAGAAGTGCTGAAACAACTTACCACAATCTGTGCTGGAACAAATAAAAGCCCATTTTGTGGTTAAAATGCATCCCTGTATCCCCCCAGAATGTGGGTAATGCTACCTTAACATATGTTTTATTTTTTAACAGATTTGGTTAGATTTTAACCCAATATTGGAGACAAATAAGCTTTGGAATAAGTATAAATACTCTGAAGGATGATATTTGAAAAATAAAGTTTACTAACTTCTGAAGATGCAATGAAAATTAACTTTATTGCTATGATTACGACCGACCGTTTAGGTAAACCTATCAGTGAATACGTCATAACGAAAGCCACTCAGTGGAATTGGTAATGTGCCAACAATGCCAAGTAAGCTTTCCATCTTAATCATATAGATAGCCATCAAATTACAGCTTAAAATGTTGTAATTAAATGCATTTATTTTGAAATATTATTGAAATGCTTTTAAAAGGTTCTATATTATGGTCTTTAAGCATCCTTAAATCAACTGTATGTATATATGATAAATCATTGCCTTTGGCACTATGGAGTATCCATCTATAATGAAGTTTTCTGGTTCTATTTTCCATTTTCGGGAAGAAAAAAATGGGCTGGAAAATATCATGGCCAAAATTGTTATCACAATATGGTTTCTAATTTTGTTCTATATGGACTCATTCAAATAATGATATAAACAATAAAAAGCCTCAGAAAAACTCAGAAATGCCCACAAAAGAATCCTGAACATCATTATGCCAAGACCATTAAACTCCTCCAATATAACGTTTCAGAAATTGTTTAAAAAAAAAAAAACCTTTTGTCTGGAGCTAAAAGCTCAACAGATGAAATAAATTTAACCAGATTATCATCTTTCTTTCCTTCTATTCCTCAGTCCGTGGCTTTTTGCCTTTTTCAGTTTCTTTGTCATTGCCTACTTTATTTTTTCATGATTGACTGTAATATGTTCAAAAAAACAAACACACAAGCCTTGAAGAATATGTTGACAAATCACTATAATAAATCACTAAAACTAGCCTTAATTTTTTTTATGTAAATTTTGATAAACCCTGTAGGCAGCAATTTATAACAGATCTTAGCTCCTTTTTATTTTTTATGGGTACAAAGAGCATTGACAACAGTAGTAACATTTGAACCCAACCTTTCTTTACCATAAGGATCAAATTAGCCATAACAATTGAATTAATTCACACATCCAATAATGTCACTGGGTGGCTCCTTGTCTATAGTGACAAGGGAAAGGCTGCACTCAGCAACTAGATGCTGTTTCACAAGCAACATGCTTTCTACACTGTCGGCACATAAACTTTTTGTAATTCATCAAATGCTTAAGTCAAAGGTACAGATCATGCAAAGGTGATGTTTGGTCGCCTTATCATGGCCACTCATGTTTTTGCTAATTCTCTAATTTCTACACTAAAGCTTAGCAGCTGGGCAGCACAATTAAATTCAGTTTATTTATATAACGCCAATTCATAACACATGTCATCTCAAGGTACTTTACAATACAAAAGTTTGCTATCTAAAGAAAACTAGTTGATTGCATCGACTCATTAACTCAAAGGCAATCCCTCATGCTAAACATGCTTGTAGCGACAGTGGAGAGGAAAAACTGCCATTTAACAGGAAGAAACCTCCAGCAGAACCAGATGACCCAGAGCCTACAGTCTGTGCTGTGTTCCATCACTCACGTAGCCTGTGTTCTGCATCTCTTTCTGTCTCAAATCACCTGCACTTGGTCAATGAAAAGATCTGTGACATGTAGTGTATATGTCATATCACTGTTACTGAATAAAATTATATCACAGTACATATTAATATTGAATTATTTTCAGGCCCTAAAGACACTCTCTGTGCGGGTGCCACTCATTTCATGATGTCACCCAACAGCTACTGCTGCTTTAATTAGGCTCTTCTTTAGGAGGGCTGAATGAAGTCAGAGACCTCTGAGAAGCAAAACACATTTTTGCAACTTGGACATTAGCTACAACAACAACAATCGCTGTTACTGTGCAGATTAGGAGCTACAAGAGACACTTTTTTATGATACAGGCCCTTTAACTGCAGAGCTGTGCATTTTGAGTTTTTACAGAGAAAATATTTGTCATATGACTGTTTTTTGGGGGGGCATGTAAAATAAGGCACACCATTTCATTTATCTCTGGACAGATATTATTGGTAACATTTGGCCCTATAGGAGAAAAGAATATTATTATTTAATTAAAGCATTTTATTGAGACGGTATAACCTTCTATTAATGAGAAAGGAAAAAAAAAAATTCTTACAAAATTTCTCAAAATAATTCTACATCAGTAGAAATTGGGATGAAATTGTATATTTGTGCATAATTATCCAATAGAGTAACGTACGTTTGTCAGGACACCATCAGCCTTTTCATTAACGCAGCCCTGGAGGCTGAAGGTGAGGTCGTGGCAGCTGACCATGATGCGGCGGCCAAAACGCTCCTCGAACGGCTTCACATCTGGCTCAATGCCCGAGAAGTCCAGCCTCTAGATATAGGACAGGGAGGGGGAGGGGGTTCAGTTGGCCAAAAGACAGAAGGGTTAGGATTATGGTGGAGAGTGGGGATGGGGGGGGGGGGGATCAATGGTCAGATGAATAAATGATAAAGGGAAAAAAAACAAACTAAAAGCAGAACCTTTCCTTACCTGTGTTTCAGGGTCCAGGGAGAAAAGCTTTTGTCTTCCTTCATTCCTGTTGATCTTATTGAGCTGGTCTGTCTCCCTCATGTACTGCGAAGAAAAAGCTCAAAGCTCATGTTTTTCCACATTTTCAACCTCTACATTCTTTTAACGGCTTATTTTCTCTTAAAGCAATTCAAACTGAAGACAAAGACAAGCAGCCGATGGGGAAGAGGAGGATGAGGAGCATCCTATGCAGACAGACAAGTCAAACCCTTAAATCACAGTCTGAGCATCAATCCCTGTCTGTAGCCTGCAGACAGACTTGGACATGAAGATGCACAGGCCCAGAGCCAATGCAGGGCTTTGTTGTCAGTGAGCAGCTGTGGGTTTAAACATATTAAAGCAGAACAGAGCCTGTGGAGGAAACACTGCTGCTCCATCTTCTCTGCCCTGTAACTTGCTCTTACTGCACAAAGCAAACCTACATGTAGAACATTTGGAAAAGACCGACAGCTCTGCAGATTTTAAAGCCAAAATCTACGAAAGGTGATGACAGAATGTTATATAAAGTCCCACGTAAAAAAAAAAAGTATGTTTAAATGTTTCAATTAAAACAAGAAATTTGCAGAATGAAAGAGTGACATCTATTTCTAACTTTTCTATTCTGATGGTTTTTTTTCTCCTGAAGATGCTCTGATTTAGACCAGATGAAACTTTCCACAGTTTTCCATGTTACAGCCAAAACCTTTAAATTGTTTTATAAGGGACCAAAAACAAAATTAAGAGAAGACTGTCAAGTTGGAGTAAAGGATACTTGGTTATAAACCAAAATTTAAAAAAAGTGTGGTTTTGTTCTTCCCTCTGTATTCTGACACCCCTGAATAAAATCTAGTGCAGCCAATTGACCTTAGCAGTCATCTTATTTGCGACAAGTTCATCTGAATGTGTTTTGTTTCAAATATAATTCCAGTTTTCATCTAAAGGCCATAAAGATTCAGTAGAAAACACTGGTGAGGAAACAGTATCAATTAAGACCAAGCAACAAAACGGATAGGTGAGGGAGACGTTTAAAACAGCATTAGGTATTAAAACTACCTAAACTTTGAGCATTTATACCAATGGAAAATCTGGGAAGTCTGCAGAGATTCCCATTTTAAGTCGAACAACAGAAAGTCTATTTACCTCCTATTCAAATCTGATTTGTGGTTTACAGGTAGGTCTATGGGTCTGCATGGTGGAACAGTTTGTGGCACTGCTGCCTTGCTGGGTTAGATTCCTATCATAAGGTCTTTCTGCATGAAGTTTGCATGTTCTCCCTGTGCATGCATGGGTTCTCTCTGGCATCGTCCCTCAGCTAACTAGCTTTTTAATTGCGTCTGGGTGTAAGTGTCAGTGGTGGAGTTTTTTTCAGGGGGGCTATGAATTAAAAATAGACGTATACCAACAACCAATCAAAAGTATACTAAGTTATCACACCAGTATATTTACGTGAATGCCAACAACAAAAAACAAAATCTGTGTTTTCCATGGTCCAATATTGTGTCACAGACCTAAAAACATAATGTACCAGTTTAATAAAGGAGAAGCAGTTACTCAGCTTCATATTTTTTTAATATAAAAAAAAACATTTATTTTCTGAGAATGTGTTTATTCAAAAGCAACTATGCAAATTAACAAATATCTAGAAAAAGTAAACTATATTACATTATTTTCCATGTAAATCCTGGAAAGTTAGCTAAGCCTTGTAGCTAAGCCAGGTCCTTCTTGCTAAACCAGGTCCTGGAAATGGAGTTTTTTTCTGCCATTACCCCCTCTCTCTCTTCAATGCAGGTCTAACACCAGAGACTGGACCTGTCAATCACCCGCAAAACCTGTGTGCTGTGGCCCGTCACCTCAGGACGCAGCTGTCCTGCGCCCAGAGCTCTTCTATACCTTTGTATTGCAGAGGAGCTACTGCGCATGTACAACAGCGGAAATACATCACCAATCTGACGAAAAATGAAATGACGCTTTACTCCTCATGAAAGATTAAATATTTATCCTGGACATCTAAAAAATATATATCAATATATTTCTAAATATTTGACATATTAATTTAAAATGTAATTAAATTGTCTTAGGGTCATTGTGTGGGCGGGGCGGCACCCTAGCGCCCTCTATTGGCCAGCCGCCACTGGAAAGCGTGTGTTCTGCGATGGACTGGCAACCTGTCCTGCATAAACCCCACCTTTCATCCATAGACTGTTGGACATATCTACCAGCCTTCTGTGACCCTGACAGATTAGCAGCAGAAGATGGATGAAAAGGAAATTCAGAGCATTTGCGAGGATTCACATTTTGGGAAACAGAATCCATGAACAGAGGAAGACTATGAGTTACTCTCTAAACCTGGAGTGTTTGGAAAAGTGGTCTAACAAAGCCAGAATATTCTTTTTCCACAACCTACAGTACACCTAGAAGGTCCCCACCTTTACTAAAATGAAACATCAGGGCAACTATTAAACCTTTAAAGGCGCAGAGGGACGTTATTTAAAAAAAAAAAATAAAAAATACTTTTATTTTTATTTCGGCAGCTCACTTTGCTTGCAGACCACGTTTTTCTGAAAGATTATGACATCCTGTTATCTTATTATTTGTTGTATTTTGTGTTTTTACACTTGTTTTTGCTCAACTTTTAAATAAATAAAGCCTCGGTATACATTTAAAAAAAAAAAAAAAGAGGTACAACACTGTGCATGTGTGCAAGGAAGTAACCCTGGGCGGCTAAGTCAATTAGCATCTCCAAGCAAAGTATGGAAAGAATGAAAAAAAGTCAAAGATCCAAAACAAAAAATATATTCAAAAATGCATAAGACTAGTGCAGTGCTCAGAATACAGTACAAACTTTAGCATTCACTGAAGCTAAAGCTGCATTCGGATATGACTGCTGGTGACAGATGCCTGAGTAAACATCCTGTTAATACTGATACTAGTGAGAGCAATGCTATACCTAGTTTCTACAGGCCTAGAAGACATGATATGAAAGACAGACAGACAGACAGAATGAATCACATGACTCACACCTGTCTATCTCAGTCATCCATTAATTGCTCTTACCTTCATCAGTTCGTTCTGTAGACTCCTCCCCTGGTTCTCCTGCAGAGCCTCACCTTTTCCTTGGCTTACAGTGTCGTCATCTGATCACAAAGGAAACAAATCTTCCATCAAAAAATCTGTTTCCTCAGTTTAAAATAAAACTGGGATCTGTGTACAGCAGGGCGATGACTTTTTGTGTAGCAAGAATGAATGAACTTTTGCCTATTTATGACTAAAATGTTTATTCAATTGAATTATTGAAAAGGGTCACGCACAAACCACTATTACTGTCAATGTGACTAAATTCGTTAAGCCTAAGGAAGTGTTCACAAAAGGTACCAAATGCACTAACAATACCTGAAAAACTTTTCATTTGTTCTTGTGAGCAGCTGTGATATGATTTTTGATAAAAACCCAGAGAAGGCTGTGTAAAATCTGTTCCTTCATTTGTTTAGCCAATTGTTCGGCACTGAAGATTTTGATGAAATATATCTGGAGTTTTGAATGAATACCCAAAATGTTTCAAATGCTTTACAACCCACTGGAAAACAGATGAATCTCCAATCAACATTGGCCAAAGCAACCAGTGCTGCCAATGTGTGATCAATGTTAAGATTTGCACAAGTCCTGCAGAAACAAGAACAACCTCCCACTTAGATTAATTCTGTCCAATGACATTAGCATTGCCAATTGACTTCCTGGTGTGTTTTCTAACCCTATTTTATGTTATATATCTGAGTCTTAAGTTTGTGGCTAATTTTGAGTATGCTTCCACTGACTTTAAAAACTAGCCAAAAAAGCTGATAATTAAAAATGTTTATCATTTTGTGCGTGAATTTTCTTGTTTAATCAAATCACCTTAAAAGTAAGATTGTATGTTATCTTTAATAAAAGTTCCTCAAATTACAATACAGGGATATGAGGTTGTAAAAAAGTCATCATCCTAGTGTACAGGTGCCTGAGGGACTTGGAGCGAATGGACTGAGTGAACCTCCCAGTATCTCCCGGTGCTAATTTTGGATTTATTCCTTAAAACATTGGCAAGACCAAACAAGCCTCATTAAGCTCTTGACGTTTGCTCAAAGATCAGTTTGAACAAGCGAGTCAGCAATTCTTAATTCCCAAAGAGGCGATTAAATGTTTCTTGCAGTGACTTTGAACATCCTTCTAAGTTATAAAATGTTTTCTCAAATCAACAGCTAACCTGTGGCAAAGTCCGTCGGCTCGGCTCCGTTCCTCTTATCGGGGATGGCCTCAGCGCCGCTCTGCAGAGCCTGTCTAAGCGTGGCCACCCAGTCCTCCATCTCTGCCTCGCTGTCCGCAGCCAGGAAGTGGCTGTAGCGGTCCTGCATCTTCAGCTCGAAACCGTTGCGGCGCATCTTGGGACTCTGAGGAAGCAAAGAAGTTTCTACTGGAATCTAAAGCTTTTTCTTTTGTTGATTTAAAAACACTTTAGGATTAGGGGAAACCTTCTGCCCTGCCTTTTATTCATTCTCTAAACATAGAATGACAGACTTCTGTTTGGTGGGTTTAACCCTTCAGCAGTAGGTTTATTATCCATTAGTTAGTTAGTAAAAAACTATACAAGCCTTACACATCTTAGGTTTTTACTTTTTAGAAACAGCAAAAATAATACAGATCAAACTTGAATTATCTAACATTCTGTAGGAAATCTCAATAAATAGAAAATGTAGTTTTCAAATGACCCTAATTCAACAAAAGGAGCGAAACTGGGAATCAATGGGATGGTCTACAAACGCACATTGATGAGTCCCAACACTGATCCGAGGATAGATGTGACAAAATGGAAAATTTCTTGGATGAGTGTGTCGTGTTAAGGGCTGTAAATACCACGGATATCACAAAGGTAACGTCCTCGATATTTATATTTTGCCTAATTGTGTAAAAATAAATTAAACTGAAACTGACTGTAGGACGATGATCTATATCTGTCACAAAACTGCGAGGTGTTATATATTTAAAGAGGCAAGAGTAACGCAAATATCTGATAATAAAAAAAAGAAGCTCCAGGGTTTGGACATATGTGCTGCGCGCCGCCAACATGTCGCTATGGTAACTGCCACATAGGCTGCAGATGCCGCTAGTGACTCCATCAGTCCCTGAAGGAGGAGCACATCAGTGAGATAAAAAAAACAGCATTTTCATGAGAAAATATATTTCAGTCCAGTGAGCTACTCAGAGAGAAAAAAGGAACATCGAACCAAAGTTTATTTCAATCTGTCGGTAACGGCCATCAGTCCATTACTAGCAATTGAATCAACTTTTATTATGCAACTGATATTCCAGCAACTTCTTTGACTGAAAATATCCGCGGTTATATTTTTTATATTTATATCTTTTAAAAACGAAGCGGTGCGTGTATGACGTCATCCGCGCGCGCCGGCTACCGTTCATTCTTCCTGTCCGCTGAACTGCTGCTAGTTTTCCTCACATGCCTGGAAGATGTCTAGTGCTGTTACCACAGATGATCTTGCTCTCTAAATGGAATTGAACGATTCAGATTAGTTACCCGAATGAATATAAGGAGTAGAGCATAGTTGCCTGTGGCCCAGGCTGCCTGTTACGACTCCAGTCCGGCGCGCGGATGACGTCATACAAACTCCACTTTGTTTTTAAAACATATAAACATAAAAAATATAACCGTGGATGTCTGGGGGACAGTGATTCGCCTACATGTTATGAATGCTGGCGTACCATAAAGAATATATTTTGAACTGTTTAGTTTGTGCCTTCAAGTCGTTGCCCATAGGAAGACGTTACTTGGCTATAACCTAACGGAATATCTTCAGAACGGCTCCAACTGACAAAACTCATATGGGTAAGTAGAACATGATGTAATAACGTAAAATCAAGGGCCAAATGTAAAAAAAAACGCATTCCCCTTTAATTGTAAATGGCTGTTTTTGTTCTTTTTTCCTTTAGAGGTTTAATTTAGTTGATTGTTTTCCAAATAGAAAAGTTTACACCCCCTTTTATTAAAGATTGTACAGGCTGATGCTTTAGAAACCTTTGTTTTTTTTTAAGTCTGAATTCAAATTTAAGGGATGTGTCCTCTGAAGGCCAGATTCGTAGGCAGATTATGTCATAGGGCGCCCCCGAGGCCTGGTCAGATTACATGACTCCTCGTTAGGCGGCCTACAAATGCTTCCTTCTTTTTGCCCGATTTGAAGGACGGGTCCGGTGTATCCTATGTAACCTTGGATTTCCCAGAATTCATTGCGAGACCAAGCAAGCCTGCTGCTCCGTCATCAGAGGAAAAAGGTACCTGGCATCAAACAGTGGGGAATATTGGAAGTGCAGTTTAATATAATACAAGCATATGAATAGTTCCGTTTGAAATTAATGAAAATTATTGAGTCATATATGTGGCGGTAATGTTTGATTTATTGAAAGGTTTTTATCTGTTACTGTGTAAATGGGTTTGGCTGTAATTTAAGGACAGATTCTAATATATCTGCAGAGTGAGGACTATAAACCTGATATGATTTTTATTTTTTAATTGCTATTTTGCACAATTTGCTAAACTAAGTATATAAGCATGTTAAATATAAGAGATTTTGCAGATATATTTTCATGCATACATTGTTTAGATATACTTTCTACTCCTTTAATAGAATAGAATAGAAAATCACTTTATTGTCCCACAATAGGGAAATTCTGGTGTTCACAGCAGCAAAAAGATTATAGAAAAAAATAGTCATAAAAATATGGATCTTAGAAAAATGCATAAGAATAACATAATAGTAAAGAGTGAAAAGATAAACAATAAAAAATACTGTACTCTAAAGTCTTTTAACAATATAAACCTGTGCACCTGGAGAATAAATAACCA